TGGTGGTGATTTCAGAGCAAGACAAATTGTGTAAGAGTCTCGGTCCTGTAGCTCTTTCTGATTCACAGACTGAAGGAGACAAGAGTAAGCACCTCTGTTGAGCCAGTAGGAATTACTATAGTCCTTCACAGCCTGGGGCTTGTCTAGGTTATCTGTGGAACCATCTGGAGTGTTAAATGCATGTCTTTTTTCATTAGGGAGAATGTTTTCCATGTCCAAAGGAACCAATGATTGATTATTACTCGGATTGATTTACAGCTAAAGCAAAAGAGATACATCAAGTATATTACTTAAACTGAGAACATTCTCCCCTTCATGTGTATATGGTTAATTTAAATATCCTTTCTGTATTTTATTTTCTTAGCAATAAATTATAATACTTTTTAAAATTTGTATGGAAGATCTGGCTTAGTTATTGTTATACTATTAAGTCAAGTGGTTAGGAGACACCTGGTAACTAAATGTCTCTAATCTGAATCACCCTGTTCTACAGGGCAGGTGTGAGATGTCTAATCACTAGCATTCAGAATATATCTTATTTTTAAGAAATTTTGTTAGCATTTCGCAGGATTCCTATAACACAAGACTAGGTTATTCTGTATCCTGCATTCTTGGAGGATAGATCTTGTATTTCTTCTTGGTGGTATCACGTCAAGCAATTGAAAAATCCTTTGCTTCCTAGTTCCCTAAACTTGTTATTCCTTAGCTCTTATTTGTTGTCTTCTGCTGAACAGAGCTCTAGAAACCAATTAAAGTGGGACTCAAGTGACTTCTTATCAAAATATTAACTTTTGCTTCCCAAATATAATTCATGCATACAATTAGTGCAATTCATTATGGAACTAAATGTTATATGCTATAAAATCAGTTTTCTAAAAGTTTCTGAATGTTCATTGAAAAACTGATGACAAGGTTGTCTGCTGGGAAGTTGAAACATCTCAAGATGGCAGTCACGTCACGAGAGGTGATCAAAGACCTGTCTCCTTTTTAAATCAATCAACACAGAGAAGAAGGAATGGAGCTTCAATAGGGAGGGTGAGACTATTTTTGTCTCTCCCAAATACCCCTGTTTGCTAATGATCATAAGTCTCACAAATTATTTACTGCCTTAAAAATAATTTCTAAACCACCCCGTGATTTGTTCCCACAACAAAATCTGCATTCTGGTAATGCCAACATGGCAGCAGATGAACAGAGGACTTATCAAAGATTTTCATTTCTAACACACACTATTACTAGTTATTTCCATGCACTCTCCAAGTGTGTGCAACAAGCTACCTGCATTGGCTTTCAGTTTGCTTCTGGGTGCAGTTCAAGATGTTGGTTGGTATCTATACAGTAAAGTCATTCAAGACAGAGGGCCAGATTATTTGCAGCAGCACCTCTACCCTGATGTTTCTACCCATCCCTCTAAATCCAGCAGGAGAGAAGCATGCCATGGGTCCTCTCAACCAAAAAAAAAAAAAAAAAAATGCTATTTGCTATTTAGGATTTCTTTTTCCTAACAAAGTGTTGTGGATAAATCATTTTAAAAGAAGCTTGGCAGGGATAAGGTACTAAAAGGTTATATTATTTAACTATAATTACTCAGGTACCTCAATCTCTGTACTAAAGGTATTTAGGATAAAAATAGCCCCAGTGCTGATCTAGGATGAAAAGTTGTGGGAGTTCAGATCCATTTTTTAAGATGCATATTGGAAAATAATAAGAATAAATCTACAGTACTCTGTGGTTAGAGCAGAGACACGTATGCATTCCATACATAGTGATTTAATAAAGTTTCACATACTGGCAAAGGATTCATTTTATGGTTCTTGAAAGACTTCCCCAAAGATGCTTAGCTAAACAATTCCTGGGTGAGCTGGCTTAGCAAAGTCATTTCATACCATGGATTTTCTATACAATATTTATTCTCAACAGCCTCCCAAGCAAGGGAAATTTTTGACCAGAGTCTTACATATGAATGCTCAAACTGACATGGAGTTATTGACTAGAAACAAATCTTTAAGTTACTCGGCTAGGAACAAAACTATTTTCTAATCTGAAAAATACCTGCCAATGAGGTGGTCACAATTTTTAAAAGCGCCTACTCTAGAGCAAGACTTGTATTGCTGGATTCCATGGCCAAATAATAGTGTTTCTACCACTTGCCATATCACAAGGGAATATGCAGGCTTGATTTAATTCTGGTCTATTACTAAAGGAAACATTGAAACAAGATTTGGCTTAGTTATTAATGGAACAACATTTTGACCTTGCCTCGCTTTCCTTAATTTAATGTAATGTTAAGCAATTTTTTTGGGCAGCAGACAGTTTTGGCACTTAAGAGAATATTGTATGTACTCATATATAGTGGCTAACATGAAAGAGATTTCTGTTTACAAACTCACTATCATGGTAATCATGGTCAGTGTGACTTCCATTGTCTAGTGACAAACTGCTGAGTAATATTCTAATATTCCCTAATATTCCCCCCACCTCCCTGAATCCTCCTTCTTATTCTTTTGTTTCTCTCCTAGATAAATATGCACACTCCTCAATAAAACCTAGCCACCTACAGCCACTCATCTTTTTTAAAATTAATTTGTATACCACCCCTCTCTCAAAAACTCAGGGTGGGTCACCACACTTTAGTCTTGTGTCATATCTGGAGAGATGACAGTAGAACCTGCTGCAGCTACACAGCTGCAATGGGAAAATTGAGTAAATTGAGTTGGACGTTTTCTATTCCCCTAAACTTACATTGATTATATCCTCAAGCTGGTCTTGAAAACCATGCCAAACTGAAAAGGAATGTCATATAATCACCCATCTGCACAAAGAACATGAGCCCGTATTCCTCCCCTTCCAAGGTAAGCACAAAGCCTTTTCCTTTTCCAAAAAGTATGTAGGTAATTCCAGTTATGTCCTCCCCCCCAACAGATTTTAAGAACTTGAAAAAATGCCAAGCCACAGCAGCCTTCCCAAGTAAACATTTCAAAAAATATTTATTTCCCTGCCTTATACATCTGGCAACATATGTTTTGGCCACAATAAAATGATCAGCCTTTCAGATAGTAATGAAAAATATTTTAGTGCAGAAAAAAAAAATCCACATTGCCCTTTCTTTTAATTTAAGCAATTAAATGCATAGTTTTCACCACTAGAGGGCTTCTTTGTCAAGGTTTTTGTTGGCAGAATGACGGAAAAACAGGAAAGTTGCTTCATCATTACATGTAATTCATGCCCTTAGCTCTAAAGCCTGGTGATTCATCCAGTATAATGAATATCTGCACATTCCATTTGCAACAGACAATAAAAGGAGCCTTCATGTTTACAGAAAACTTATCTGTAGCACCTGAACATTTTGAACAATCAATTATCATTATTTACATTTATTTTGTTTTGGTTATTGTGTCAAACAAAAATATCATTTTTAATAGGCTGTGTACACAAGGGGATGCTAGATGAGGGTTGAGAAAACCAGATAACCAAAAGATGACAGCACAGATTTATTTATTTGTTATTTATTTATTCAATTTGTATAGCTGCCCATCTCAAACAGTGATTCTGTGTTGCAAACAATCCTAAAAACAGTTAAAGCAGTATAAAAAAGAAATTGAATGCAGTTAGCAGCCAAGAGATATTATAATCCATCAAGGTCAACATAACCAGGAAATGTGGCCTTCACATACTCAGGACTCCAGGCCTGGGCAGGTAGGCAGGTTATTTAGACCTTCCAAAAGGCCAAAAGTGATGAGGCCATCTTAATCTCTGAATGCTCTAGAGCAGGGGTGTCAAACTGCTGGCCCGCGGGCCGGTTGCATCATGCAGAGGCCGCTCTCATCCCAGCTCCGGCAATGCAAACAAGTTGTGATACATCGCAACACGTCATGTGACGCAGCGAGTTTGACACCTGTGCTCTAGAAAGCAGGATCTATGGCAAAAAAAAGAGGCTTGTTTCCTGGTCCCTGTCAACTGACATTCCTTGACTAACATGACCCAGAGTATGCTTCTCCTGCCAAACTGGACTGGACGGGCAGAAACAACTGGGAAAAGATGGTCTCTGAGGTAACCCGATCCCAAGCCATGAAGGGCTTTAAAGGTGACAACCAACACCTTGAGTTAAACCCTGAGCAGTAGTGTTATATGTGCTAAATCAGACATGTCAAACTCGCGACATCACATGATGTCACGCAACATATCGGAGTTTTTTCGCCATTGCCAGCAATGGGGTGGACACAGCTTCGGTATGATGAAACCGGCCCACGGGCCGGCAGTTTGACACCCCTGTGCTAAATAGACAATACCATTTACAACCCATACAGCTGCTCTGTATAACAGCTGAAGGTTCTGAATGTTCCACAAAGACAGCCCCATTTAGAGCAGTAGTTCAAACAGGAAGTCATGAAGGCATGAGTGAAGGGGACAGAGCCTCCCAGTTCTGGAATGGGTGGAACTGACACACAGCCCAAAGATTTAATTTAATTTCAGGGAATATTTACTTCCCTGCCTTATACATTAATTATAATTAATTTAGATTTAGATTTCAGGTTTAGATTAAATTTAGAGATTTTTGCCTATCTTTGCTGACTTCTGTGTATCAATTAGATTTTGCAGCCCAAATGTTGAAGCACTACAATAAACTAGGATACCTATTCATATATAATGAAGGGACCCTAGGGGCAAAACATTGTTTAAAAAGTTCAAAAGAAAAAAAGGATAACCACTATGAAAAGGTAGAGATGTGAGCCTACAATTAAGCAAAGTAATATTGCTCACACAGGATGTTCCTTTAGTTTAAAAATACTGAACAATATACAGTCTGGCTATATGCTCTTCATTAAAAGGTTGTTTGTGTCTGTTCCATTATAAATACTGTTGGAATATTCATGAACAGGAAGAGTCATGTGGTAACTCAGTCAGCCAATGTGAGGAAAGTGCTACTGAGACTGTGCAAAAGAGTATTGAGTTAGGAGCTGGATTTCCAGTCTCAAGTTTTGTCTCTGGTCTGTCTCTGTAAGAAGTCTTCATTAAGCTATGTTGCTGTAAAGGAGAATGGTATTGTAAATATTTTTATATAAATATAAAGTTATTTGAATCAGCTAAATGCAGTCAACTGTGAGAGCTTCTGATTTATTTTTCACCAATAGAGAAATTAAAATTCTCTAACAAATACTGTATATGATTTGCTGTCCATTTGATCAGTTGGAAAGAGAATTGAACTATCATTGCTATATTTAAAAATGTCAATATTCTGAAGACATTGGTTTCAAAACATTTGAGGCCCTAGAAAATTGTGGATCAGAGCCTCAAACATCAACCAAGTCAGAAACATGATATTAATTATAATATAATTGGGGCAAATGTCCCTCAAAATATACAAGATAATATTTTACTATTTGAAAAAAAACCAAAACAAGATATGATTTGTCTACAAAAAGCACATACAATATAAGGAAGAAGAAATAAAATATGTAATATGTGGTTCCTTGATTAGGCTGTTGTTTACTTTTAGCTTGTCTGTCTATATTGATAATTCCTTAATTGGGATATTGTTTACTTCTTGATTGTTGGTCTAGTGCAGGGGTAGGCAACCTTGGCTCTTTTATGACTCATGGACTTCAACTCCCAGAATTCCTGAGCCAGCCAGTTGAAGTCCATGAGTCATAAAAGAGCCAAAGTTGCCTACCCCTGGTCTAGTGTTAGAGAGGGATCTCGGAATCCTAGTGGACAATCACTTAAATATGAGCCAGCAGTGTGCTGCAGCTGCCAAAAAAGCCAACACAGTCCTGGGCTGCATTAACAGAGGGATAGAATCAAGATCACGTGAAGTATTAATTCCACTTTACAATGCCTTGGTAAGGCTACACTTGGAATACTGCATCCAGTTTTGGTCACCACGATGTAAAAAAGATGTTGAGACTCTAGAAAGAGTACAGAGAAGAGCAACAAAGGTGATTTGGGACTGGAGGCTAAAACATATAAGGAATGGTTGCTGGAATTGGGTATGTCTAGTTTAACGAAGAGAAGGACGAGGGGGGACATGATAGCAGTGTTCTAATATCTCAGGGGCTGCCACAAAGAAGAGGGAGTCAAGCTATTTTCCAAAGCGTCTGAAGGCAGGACAAGAAGCAACGGATGGAAACTAATCAAGTTGAGAAGCAATCTAGAACTAAGGAGAAACTTCCTGACAGTTAGAACAATTAAACAATGGAACAACCTGCTTCCAGAAGCAGTGAATGCTCCAACACTGGAAGTTTTTAAGAAGAGACTGGACAGCCATTTGTCCAAAATGGTGTAGGGTTTCCTGCCTGAGTAGGGGGTTGGACTAGATGACCTCCAAGATCCCTTCCAACTTTACTACTATTATTATTAAATCTAAATGGGCTATTTATCTATATTTAGATTGTGATCAGCTTCACCAACTGTCACACACTGGGCTCTCCTCATCTAAACTGCCCTACCAAACTTGTGACATGCAACTATCATATTAAAAAAAAGTCCTGCCTCTCCCCCAAAGGGATTATTGACATTTTAATTCTTACTCAGTGCAAGAAAATGGCCATGGCTCCTAAAATTGCAGGACAACTTCACCACTCATGATTTAATCAAGAAAAATTAAGACTTAGTAGTTGTAAATTAGCCAACATAATTGGAACTCTGCTATAAAAAGTATTTCACAAGTGGTTTGTACAGCTTCACTGGGTTTATCTCAAGAAACAAACTTTCTGACGCTATTTTAAGTAGGCTGTCAGGTTATAAATTCATTATTCATAGCACTGTAGAGATTAGGGCCCTGTTTTCATGTCATCAAGACAAACTAATAGACTAGCAAGAAAGAACAACAGGTCCCTTCCAACTTTATTATTATTATTATGGATCATCGCACAGTCAGCCAGATGTTCAGACTGGATTTGGCATTTTGTCTACCTATCGAGTCCTTACCCGGGACCTGGGATAGGCAGATGTGGATGTTTGATGGTATTACAGATATCATCGCAGGATGGAAGCAGTTCCTAGTAAGGCCGCCTTTTGCAATTGACTAATAGCGAATTTGTCAATGCCAATGGTGTTCAAGTGGTGCTCCAGTTGTTTTGGGATTGCACCCAATGAGCCTATTACTATTGGTACTACCCTTGCTTGCTTTTGCCACAGTCTTTCTATTTCTATTTGTAGGTCTTTGTATTTTGTTATCTTCTCCATTTCTTTCTCTTCTATTCTGCTGTCTCCAGGCACTGCCACGTCCAATATCCAGACTTTTTTGTCTTTCTTATCGACAATTGTTAAGTCTGGGGTGTTATGTTGCAGGTGCTTGTCTGTTTGAATTCTGAAGTCCCAGAGCAGTTTAATTTTATCATTTTCTATGACTTTCTCTATTTTATGATCCCACCAGTTTTTGCTTACAGGCAAATGGTATTTTTTGCAGATCTTCCAATGCACCATTGTTGCTACTTTGTCATGCCGCTGCTTGTAATCAGTTTGTGCAATCTTCTTGCAACAGCTTACCTAGTGGTCCACTGTTTCTTCAGCTTCTTTGCATAGGCGGCACTTACTGTCTTCTTCTTCTTCTTCTTCTTCTTCTTCTTCTTCTTCTTCTTCTTCTTCTTCTTCTTCTTCTTCTTCTTCTTCTTTTTCTTCATAGTAATAGTAGTAAAGTTGGAAGGGACCTTGGAGGTCATCTAGTCCAACCCCCTGCTCAGGCAGGAAACCCTACACCATTTCGGACAAATGGCTGTCCAGTCTCTTATTCCTTTGAAGACGTTGCTGATAGTTTCGTGCTTTCTCTAGCTAGTCTTTTTTTATTATGAAAAAGGAGTCATCTATGTACTGTATCCATAGTTTAGGTTGTTTGTGTGGGAGTGCTGTAGATTCCAGATGTTGCATTACAATCTCAGCTATGTGTCCTGAAAGTAGTGACCCCATGGTATTCCTTTGATTTGTTGATATATTTGTCCATTAAACTGAAAGTATGTGGTCAGGCACAGGTTATTAAAGTCCATGATTCTGGATATATCAATCTTGGTATATTTAGTTAGGTCAGTGTTCTATGTAGTAGTGTTGTCATGGATTCTTTTGCTAGTTCTGGATCTATGGATATGAAGAATGAGACCATGATTTCATTAAATGAGACCATGATTTCATCTTCGTCTATGTCGGATTTATAATCCTTTGGAGGCACTGTAATGGGGAATTGAGGGAGTATTCACTTCTCTCTGTGAGGTGTCCAAGCTTACATATTTGTCAGTTCTTTAACATTGTTGTAATTTGAGTTCATGGATGGGTTCTTGCTGAAATCCCTTTGTGTTATCCTTTGAATCAACAATTCTTACAGTACCAAGTGAGTTTCCTTCCATACTTAACAAAATCAATTTTAGCTACAAATTTTGGAATTTAATTTTTGTTGTCGTAAATAGCAAAAGGGTGATTAAAATTTTGATTATAGAAAGCTATAAAGGGTCAAGGTAAATTTGAAATAAGATGTTTAAATTAATTATAAAGAATCCTTTCCATGAGAAAATGCTTTTGTTTTGATTTTTTTTAAAACTAAGGTTTAGGAAACTAGAGGAAACTAAAAATTACAATTGAAGTCGAAGAACTTAAACTCAACTTACAAGTACAGAATGAAGCAATTTTTTTAACATTGCACATTGAAGGATATTTGAATATTTGAACAATGAACCCAGAAATTAATTTTAATAGTATCTGACTATAGATTTACTTATTAAATAAATATATTTATGATAAATAGGTAGGTGATTATATATTAAACATATTGCTGCCCTCCTCACACATAGGTGACATAGATAGATTGTGTCTAAAACAGCGGTTCTCAACCTATGGGTCGCGACCCCATTTGGGGTCGATCGACCATTTTAAGGGGGTCGTGAAACAACGCGATCCGCCATTTCCCCCCCCCAGGGGGCGCGTTCGTGTGACGGGGTCGCCGTCACACGAAGATTGAGAATCGCTGGTCTAAAAGATATGGAAAAGGAACAAGTTCTATCTGGCGAAACTAAGACTGACATAATTTTATTAAAGTTTTGAAGAATTTTGTGAGAAGAGACAACAAAGGAAATCAAGTTCTACAACATTATTTTAAGGGAGTATAACATCAAGATTGTTAGAAATAAAAAGAAGGAATGTAACTGGTTTATTTGAACAAGGTTAAAATAAATATGTTATCTCTGGCGACAATGGACTGTTGCCGACAACAGGACTGAAATGACGATGCCTTACAAGTTTGTAGATAAGAGATGGGATGTGGGTAGAAGAGACTACCGTATTTGTTGAATTTTAAGAGAAGGCGATTAGTAATTAAAATTGTTTGTACTTGTGATAAAGGTGGTAAGTCATTTCTTTATATATTTCTTTATTTACTATATTTTTTTCTATTATTCTCTTTTTTCTTTCTTGCCGCACCTTCTAATCATTATTTTTATTCTACTCTTTCTTTATATTTATTTGTATTATTTTTTGTAATTTTAATCTTTAATAAAGGTTTTATACTGTAAGAAAATAATGAGGAAAATATGTTGAATTCATCTATAGGAAGGATTTGTTGAATGCACAAGAAGGAAAAAAAGTGAATTTTGAAGGTTTTGTTCTTGGTCTTAGGTTTCTTACTGAAGAAAGAAAAGCTTCTGGAACTGTTTTTACTACAGTATTATCAGTCTAAAGCTGCAACAGGTTTTTCCTGTCATAGCAGTCCTGTGTATTTCACAAGGCGCTCATTAAGTAACCCTTAATTTATTTATATGCATATTCAAATACTGGTGAGGTAATATTTACATAACTTGAGTTTGGGTATGTAGATATGTTGTAATTAATTAGGTGTGGTGAAAGAGTTCTCAACTATTGCATTATCCAGAAAGCTGTTCAGAAAACTGAGGAGCAATTACACACTTCTTCTATCATCGTTTATAATATGCCAACAAATACAGAAATGGAAATGGAGAATGTTATTTTTATACCAGGAGTCCTCAACCTTGGCAACTTTAAGACTTGTGGACTTCAACTCCCAGAATTCCTCAGCCAGCTTGAAGTCCACAAGTCTTAAAGTAGCCATGGTTGAGGCTCTATTCCATCTCCAAAGTGAAATACTATGGCCAATTAACTCTCTTGCACTTTGGAATCTGATATTAGTTCATGAAATCTACATGAGAAACATGTACTTTGCTCTTGTAACTAGACTGAAGATCAAACAAATAGTAGAAGACCTGTATAGGTTCCATCTGATAATATTTTGAATAGCTTTCTCCATATATATTTTTTAATTGAGACATCTTATTGGTTTTTAAGTACTTTATAAGGAGTATAACCAATGTTTTGAATAAAACCCTTTCATGTAACTAATTTAATTTCAGCTAACTTTTAGTTCTGAGTACCCGCTTCTCTTTTTTTCCACATTGCTAATTAAATTTAATAAGAACCCATTTGGCCTAGTGGTTAAGTTATCACGCTAAAAACCGGGAGACCATGAGTTCTAGTCCCACCTTAGGCTCCCAGCCAAATAGATGACTCTTGGCCAGTCACTCTGTTTCAGCCCACTCTGTTTCAAGAAGAAGGTAATGACAAACCATTTATGAAAAGCCCTGCCAAGAAAACTTCAGGTACATACACACACACACACACACACACACACACACACACAGAGAGAGAGAGAGAGAGAGAGAGAGAGAGAGTGAGAGAGAGAGAGAGATTTGAATTTAAGAATTTCCAAACTGGAGGTGAAGAACAAGTAGAATCTAAAAAACTATATTTTTCAATTGTTTTAATCAACAGTATCCATGTATTCCATCAACTCAATATATAATAAACTATAAGAATGTTGTTTGCATACAGCATTGAGGGACCATTTGTTTTTGCCCTTTCAAGTTAGAGCTGATAAATGGAGAAACAACTTAAACTTTGTATATACTTTTTAAAAATCTTCTGTTCTGACAAATATAAGTATATACAAATATATATATAAGTATATACTAATTGCCCCTCTAGCTAGTAAAATAGGATATAATGACCAGCAGTATACACAATTTTTAACTTTCTGATATTAATCCTGAAATTATAAGATTGCCAAGTTCTGTGTGGTGGCAGACAAAATTAGACAACAGATAACCAAGTGAAATTTAATGTGTTTGAGTAGAGCTTTGCCTCAGCATTACCCACTGGTCATTTTTTTTTTTTTGTCTACTACTGTACCTTCCTCAGATGTGTCAGGAGCTCTACAATTCTATAGTTTAGGTTAGTTTTAACTAATAAGAATATTAGCCTATTGTAGTAATCACTCCTTAGTCATTGAAGGGTGCAAAGAAATGGCCACTTACTACGCAGCCTTTATTGTTTTTATAGAGGTTTGCAAATAGCAAAAGATACAGCATGGCAACAGCATTTCATTGGCTAAAATCCTTTACCAATCCTCAAGAGTAAAAAGCTAGAGGCCATAAACAGGAAAACTCATTGTTCACCGACTAGCCTTATCAAATTGGCAAGGTCACACAAACCTGCGTACTGTCACGTCACCATGGTGATGTGGGGGGGGAGAAGATGCATAACAAAGGCACAAGCATTGGTAGGGCAGTTTTCTGCTCGCAACTTTCGCCTGTCTGTTATCCCTACAGCCTATTTTTCTATGTGTCACTCCTTATTTATTTTTGGATGCTCTGGATATCTGAAAACTATTTTTTCTTCTTTCTTTCTGCTGGTTAATAACTGCATTCAAGTTATTTGATTTGAATTGAATTTTGGGTATCATTTTCCTCTTTTGATGGTTGATTGTTTGTATAAGATACAGGCTGGTCATGGTAATTCATAAATGGTCAGCCTATATCTTATAGAAAAAATAATCTTGATGGGGTAATAACTTCTGGCAAGAAGAAATGATTCAGTTCCTCCTGTCATTCCCTCTAGTTGTGTTTAAATTTTTAAGTTTAAAATTTGAATGCAGCTGTGTCTGTAAGAAGTCATAAAGGTATCAAACTAGTGGTATATTCATCATGGCAACAATTTGCAAAGGACCCAATTTATACACTTCCATAACGATAGCTGACAAAAATGTCATAAATATTATGATGTATATGTTATCCGCTCTCACCTTGCGCCTACAAATGCCTGAGTTTTAAGGTGCTAGTCAATCATGTTCATGTAATACCACATCAAGTTGCATCCTTAAAAATTCTCACATGACTATAGACTTACTGTACATGTTAATATATTGAAGATCATCCATGAAGGGCAAAAGCTTATAAATAGCTCACTATTGCAATTCTCTTTTATTCTACATGATGAAATTTTTCAAATGCTTGGATTTAACAAAACTGTTTCAATTGTTGCAATGTAAAAGAGTTATTCATATGTGAATCCCCTTTGCAATCTATTTATGCAAAAGGAGTTTTTCATTCATTCATGATGGAAGTTGGGTAACTTGAATAACCACTTTTCACAAGGGCTTCCCTATATTTTATAAAGCCAGATGCTCTAGAGAGATAAGCTGGTTGACACCATTTGTCATTTTGCATATAACTGAAAACACTTAAAAAATTTTAAGCAAGGCATGGCATTTCCTGCCATTGTATTCAAGCTATCCTGGGTGATGCTATTTCTGTCTCAACAGTTATATGATAAAAAGGAAGTGATTTTTTTATTGACAGGATATTTTCAATAAGCCAATATATTTCTAGGAGCTTAGAAACAGAATTGACTATCTTCTATGTAGTATTCCAATGTCAATGTATATATTTCTTGCATGTTAAATTTTCCAATGATTTCAGGAGGTACATGTAAAATTTTAGATCCACACCTGACAACTCATGTCATGTTGGATCATTGTTTCAGAGATAGTTCCTTACCTAAACAAGAAATAGAATAACTATGGCCAGGCAAAAAAATCAATGGAAACAGGAATGACTTCCAGGTTCCAGGTGGGAAGCTGCTAAGAGGCATTGGAAATCTTCCCTTCCCTTCCCTTCCCTTCCCTTCTCTCTTTTTTCCTGCCACACTGAGTTTAGATTTCCTGCTGGCTTCCCCATTGTTTAATAAAAAAAATAATGGACACAGAATGGAATGTTATGAAGAAATTATGTAAAAGGAGTCAGGACTCACCTTGCCAGTCTGTCCATCTGGAGGATAATTGTTTTTGAAAACCAAACATGACAGGATCAAATTTGGAGATAGATGCCTTTAAAAATTAGCAAGATCCAGCCAAAATCCGCAGAAGAAAAAAATCCAGAAAAAAAATGTTAATCTCTATCAGAAAAACACTTGTGTAGTGGCTCAAATTGTTGCCAGCATCTCCATTCTAAGCGTCCCTCCCCTTTCTTTCCTGATCACATGACTTTATTTTCATAAGGTGAAGGATGTTTCAGAATTGAGGGACATTTATGTAACTTTTTACACATTCTCATTTTAATTTTTAAAAGTTAAAGCAGTCAAATCCTTTTATTATATGAAAATGTATTCTTGTAGTTATGACACTTTTAACATTTATGTTTGAGTTTAAAATGTTAAATAGCACATGGATGGATGGATAAATTGCTTTGGCACAAGAACTTTGACAAGCATGAAATCATGATGGTGGGGGAGAGAAGACTGAAATATTATGACAGGACAATATAAAAGGGAACCTAAAACACCATTAGATTCAATGTTGCATGGCTGATTCTGTTGAAAAGTAACTAATGATGAAACTTCAGTGGGAGTCAGTCAGAGTAAAATATCCAAGCCCAAATCTTGCAAACCGCCAGGCCAGCCCACACAAAGAAAACTGCTTTGTTAACATTCATGGACAGAATGCACACCTGTGCATCAGTCAATCTCCACTTCCCTAAAAAGTCTTCTCTTCTCTTATCAGAAGCATGCCCAGCAACATAAAGGATAGCACAGTATTAAAGGAAAATATTCTGAATGGAAGACTTCACAGCATTAAGAAATCTTAGAATGGTAAGTAGCTAATAATATATACAATAGGGATAGGAGGGGAGGATGGACATTTGACTGTAAGGAGATAGAAATGCAACTGGTAGGATGCTATTGTCCAGCATGGGGATTGAGGGGAAAGAAACGTTGGGATAAAGACTTTTATCATATATTTCCAAAAGGAAATGCAAGAAGCCGTGTACCCTTAATAGGAAAAAGGAATGTTGGAAATCATCCAGAGAGGGTTAGAGAGCATCTCCTTGTATTCTCCTAGGAGCAGATGAATTGCCAAGTTCCCTTTCTCTCATATGCAACTCTTTAAAAACTCAGATTCTTCCCATCTTGCCATATAAATGTTAAAGATGAAAAACCTTCAGGAAAAAGTAGCAGACATAATTCAGATGGTTATGAATCCATAATCAACCAAATCCAGTTTTTAAAGCTCTCTTCTCAGAGAGTTGTGCCTAGTTGATCAAATTTGTCCGGTTTCTATCATCTATGCCAGCGGTTCTCAACCTGTGGGTCGCGACTTTTTTGGGGGTCAAACGACGCTTTCACAAGGGTCACCTAAGACCATCGGAAAACACATATTTCCGATGGTCTTTAGAAACTGAGACACCGCTCCTCTATCTGGCTGCCGCCGCTGCCCTTCTCCGCCGCCCTCCTTCTCCTCCTCCGCCTCCAGGGTGCCCTTCTCCTCTGACAGCGCCTGCTCCTGCCGCTGCAGAGCCATCGGGCGCACCCCCGATGCCGCCCTGGGCTGGCTCAGTGGCTGGTCCGAGCTGAGCCGAGTCTGGGCCGTTGCTGGCACTGCCGCTGGGCTGCTCCGCTGCTGCTGCCTCTGCCGGCTGAGCTGAGCTGCAGTGCTGAGCTGGTCTCCACGCCTCCTGGTTGCCTGGCCGCGGTCCGCCCTCGGCCGCCCTCTGCACCACGCAAGAGCGTCCCCCACGCCGCCCGGCCAGCCTCCCTCATCGTCGGAAGCCACCTCAGCCCTCTGGCGCCTGGCACAGCCGTGGGGCTGCCGAGCAGGATCGGCTCCTTCCCAGCTTGCCAGGCTCCGGGCCTCGGAAGCGGCTGGGGGCAGGGAAGAGGGCAAGGCGGTGGCGATGCCCGCATGTGCATCGGAGGCCAGCCGGCCGGGCTGGGAGGGGAGAAGTGGCGCCTTCCGAGAGGGAGCTGGCGCTCCGGCCGCGCCCCTCTCACGTGCAATGGGCTGCGTGGCATGGAAAGGGGCTCCTGTGACCCTACTGCTGCAATGGCGCTCAGGAGGCTGGAGGGGAGAGCAGGTCCCAGGGGGGCGGCTGGGAGAGGGCAAGAGGTGCCGGGATGAGGATGGGGGGCTCCAGGTTGGTGGGTGTGAGAGGGCAGCCGGCGGCTCTGAGGGGCACAGATCCTCCGTGCAGCTTCCGAGGCTCCGGATGTGCCGCCGCTTGGCTCTCCACCAGGCTCTCTGCCAGAGCCTCCCCCCCTCCCCGGGCAATTGTGCGGAGGTGCTTCTGCATCCTTGGCAGCGCCTCCCTCCTTCAATCTCCTTCCTTCTCCATCTCCTTCCTTTCTTCTTCAATCTTCCTTCCTTCTCCATCTCCTTCCTTTCCCCTTCAATCTTCCTTCCTTCCATCTCAATCTCCATTCCTTGGTAGGTGTGAGAGGGCAGCCGGCGGCTCCGAGGCGCTTGGATCCTCCACGCAGCTTCGGGGCCCCCGGATGTGCCACCGCTTGGCTCTCCACCAGGCTCTCTGCCAGAGCCTCCCCCCTCCCTGGGCAATTGTGCGGGGCTGCTTGTGCGTCCTTGGCAGCGCCTCCCCCCTTCAATCTCTCTCTCTCTCCTTCCTTCCTTCCTTCCTTCCCCCTTCAATCTCTTTCCTTGTCCATCTTCTTCCTTCCCCCTTCAATCTCCTTCCTTTCCCCTTCAATCTTCCTTCCTTCCTTCCATCTCCATCTCCATCCCTTCCCCTTCAATCTCTCTTTTTTCTTCCTTCCTTCCTCCTTCAATCTGCTTCCTTCTCCATCTCCTTCCTTTCCCCTTTATCTTCCTTCCTTCTCCATCTCCTTTCCCCTTCAATCTTCCTTCCTTCCATCTCCATCTCCATCCCTTCCCCTTCATTCTCTCTCTCCTTCCTTCCTTCCTTCCTTCCTTCCTTCCTTCCTTCCTTCCTTCCTTCCTTCCTTCCTTCCCCCTTCAATCTCCTTCCTTCTCCATCTCCTTCCTTTCCTCTTCAATCTTCCTTCCTTCTCCATCTCCTTCCTTTCACCTTCAATCTTCCTTCCTTCCTTCCTTCCTTCCTTCCTTCCTTCCTTCCTTCCTTCCTTCCTTCCTTCCTTCCTTCCTTCCTTCCCCCTTCAATCTCCTTCCTTCTCCATCTCCTTCCTTTCCCCTTCAATCTTCCTTCTTTCCTTCCTTCCCCTTCCCTCTCTCCCAACATTTTTGAGCAAGGAAGAGTAAGAGTAAGATTCTCCAGCAAGCATTGCTATATTGTTTTTGTGATTAATCACTATGCTTTAATTATGTTCAATTCGTAACAATGAAAATACATCCTCCATATCAGATATTTACATTACTATTCATAACAGTAGCAAAATTACAGTTATGAAGTAACAATGAAAATAATTTTATGGCTGGAGGTCACCACAACATGAGGAACTGTATTAAAGGATCGCGGCATTAGGAAGGTTGAGAACCACTGTTTTAAATCTTATTCTAAAAGTCAAGGATGGATGCATTTGCTCGCCCTTGTCTAGTGAAAGGCATTTACTAGATCATTTCTATTCCATGTGCGGGTCTGAATCCTGACAGCACAGTATCCAGGCAATCCATTTTCTCTAGAATATTTGATTCAGTACCATTGTTCCAATAGCCTTCTGCTAAAAGGAAAGGCTGTAAAATGGGCAGTAGTAGTTCAATGCTTCAGGGTCTAGATAGGGCCTTTAAGAATAAAGTGTACTATAGCTACCTTTAAGAACACCAATAGAGCGTTCTCTCACAATGAGCAATTAACAGTCTCCCTGATTCTGAAAGTCACCTTATCTCTAGCTACATATCTGATGAAATTAAGAGGGGGAGTGTTATGTATTGAATATATATGAAGTTGTGTTAATCCCTGCTAAAGTGAAACTAACTTAACTTCAGCTGCTTGTGAAGCTAAAATGAAACTAACCTTTAGATGACCCTGACTGTTAACTCCAACTATTTTGAAGGGAAACTTTGAACATTCATATTTGGGTGGGTTTTTCAAGTATTGTGATTGGTTAAGACCCTGTGGGCTTAAAGTATAAATTACAGGCAATTGTCTGCAGTTCTCCAGTTCTAGTTTGAGTCAATAAATAACTTGTAACTATGCTGGTCTGCTCCTTGCCTATTGAAACCCACTACACAATAGGGAGGGAGGCAGCCTCAGGTGGCAGACAATACCCTAGAGCAGACATGTCAAACACAAGGCCTGGGGCCCAGATACGGCCCATAAAGTGATTTCATGTGGCCTGTGAAGCCATCCTGGAAAGAGTGAGGGAATGGCCCCCACTGCCTTGGCCCTGGCCCAGGCCAGCCAGGAGCCAATGTACAATTTTGTGGTGGCCATCTATGCTGAAACATATTCAGTCTTAGCTCCACAAGGCCGTCTGGAAACAGCGAGGAACTAGCCCCTGCCTCATCGACCACGCCCCCTGGGTGCATACTGGGGAAGTGTCACCCTTTGTGAGGAATGAAGAAATGCACCATCGCTTGGAAGTGGCCAGGTGAGGGCCATGTGCTGGCCACTTCCAGGCGATGGTGCATTTCTTCATTCCTCATGAAGGGTGACACCTCCCCAGCTGCGTTTCTTGCCTATTTTTCTCTCAAATATTTTCCCACCACTCTGTACTTAGGAAAGAAGGAAGGAAAGAAGGAAAGGAGAGGGAGGGTCTGAGGGAAGTCCTACCTTAGTTCTGCCCTGCTGCCCTTTCACCATCCCCTTGCCCCCTCCTCCTGGCCTATCCTGGGGTCTCCCATCCTATTGCTAAGGAAGCTTTGGATACAAAGCCGGGTCTCCTTCCACAGAGAGGGAATGGGCCTCTCTCTGACTCTGTCCTTGTACCCATCATGAACAACCTGGCTAAGGAGAGCAAGCGCAGCAGCAGCCTTGAGGAGGAGATAAGTGCAGCTGGGTGCCCCCTTGGGAAAGTGGGGCTGGGCTTGGTGCCGCAGGTGCTCGAGGGCCTGGCTGGGCATTTGACCTCTGCTGCCCAAGGCTCCGGGAAGCCCGCGCCACCATCCAGTCCCCCCTGCATGGCCTGAGAGGAACAGCGAGGCTCCTCCAGTGGACTATGCCTTGACACTTGCCCTGGTCCCACCCCCTTCTGCCAAAGACCATCAGATCTGTCCCACTCCTGCCCAGGCCCCCACAGGCACCCTTGATTCGAACGATGTAGAGCTGACCACGCCCACCCAGTAGGCCACACCCACTCCATCCACGCCCACCCAGTAGGCCACACCCACCTGCCCCCCTGAGGGCAACCGCAATGCTGATGCCGCCCTCAGTGAAATTGAGTTTGACACCCTTGCCCTAGAGAATATCCTGTCACAGAGGTCACATATCAAAAGGAATCTCAGGTAACAAAACGATGTCCAAGTCCTTATTATGGACCTTATTCACATGGAACCAAGACTTAAGCAAATCTGGGTGACTTTGTTAATGAAATAATGTGCTAATTGACCAGAAACTGGGTAGGAACTCTTGATGTTGTTTTTTTCCCTAACAATGAATTGACAATCTGAAATACAACTAACAGAATGAGAACTCTGACACAATAAGAGAGGATACATAATGCTGTTTTATCGTTCTTATGGCGAAAGTATTGGTCTGAATGTGGGCGTGAAGTTATGCTCAGGCATATTCATTCCTTGACCACCTGCACCAGCACTCTCGATTTCACTTCTGCCAGTTTATCTCCTGCAGTCTCCCAGTAAATCAACAAACGATCTAAGACTGACCCACTGAGAGAAGCTACAATTTTATCAAGGGTTCAGTATATTGTTGTCGCTAGCCCAGTTGGGTTGAATCCCAAGATTTTGGGGGTTTTTTTTTATTCAGAAGCAATAACCATACAGAATGAGCATTTAGGGCTTTATTCCAAAGCAGTATAAGGAAATAAATAATAACAGGACATGACATAATGTAACATTTTAAGAATATTCAGAAATTCTGAGACGTATAACAGGATAATAATCAACTAACATTGAAGAATAATGAAGATTATAATTTTTTTCATTCATTTCATTTCATTCATCCGTTCACTCAAATTTATAGAGCCAATCTCTTGGAAAACTGTCAGGCAGATAAGAGGAGGGATCAAGCCTTGAGTCATTGCATAGCCACAAGAAACCTAGGGTTGACCACCACCACCTCAATTTCCATGGGACCTTATCTGTTTGTTCCCAAGAAAAGAAAAGCAGCCTGGGGAGATTCCTGTAATATAGATAGAATAGCATAAAGTTATCAATTTGAACTTTTCACTTGTGGATCTGATTGCTTGCGCCTGACACAACTTCACATTTGTGACTAAGACAGCTATAAAAGAATATTCAAGAATACTGAAGAACACAATATGACAATTAAGCAAAGCTTGTACATTCCTTTACCAGTCAGGGAATCTGAGATATGATGTTAGGAGGAGCCTTTCAAAACCAGCAAACATGCAACATCCTCCCAGTTAGGTCTGCATTAAAGTTCCATCCTGTGGGAATTTTGATTAAGTTATTTCTGCTCTGAACCACCCTCACTCTAACCCCTTTTTGATTATGTTATCTCACAGGAGTTTACCAAGGAAAAATTCTTCATATCTTGGAGTGCTACTTGGTTTGAATGTTGTGTTTAGTTCTATCAAAAATGAGACCATCCAAGTTAAAAAGGACTGTATGCCATATGGCCATCTGTTTTCTGAAGTTTTTCAATTGACAATACAAAAGATGATCCTACATTATACAGATGATCTACAAAGGGCAAACCAAAGTATAACTTAAGTATAACTGTTTAGTAATTAAAATAAATGCTGATTTAATTCTATATTACACTCAATCGTTACATGGGAATATGTACCATGCACCTAAAGGAATCTAATTCATCTTCCTCCCCAGTCTTCATATGAACACCACGAGGTCATCCCAGAATGACAACAGCAAATCAGGTCTTCAGCAGATTCACCTGCCAGATTGTAAGGAAACTCTCCAAGCACCATCAGAAACCATTAGGATCCATGAAGTATCTGAGGCAAATCATTGGATTTGGTCTATCCATATGAACATCTCAGATGGCAATCATTTACACTTGGGTCAGGAAATAATCCAACCATTGCAAAAGAAGAGTAGTAATGTTCCATATATCCAGATCACATAAACCCTTTTTTTAAAAGAAGGGCAAGGTCCAAAGTGTGTTCTACATTGCTGAACCCAAGAACACCTGAAACAAGCCCATGGTAGCCAAGAAGCCATTAACTTCTGGGCCCAACTGAACCTTAGAAATGGAGATTGAAGTCCTCCAACAACAATTGTCACCAGCAGTCCAGTAACTAGGACCAGAGTCAAGAAAGGAACCCCATCGGTATCAAAAAAGCCATTATGCCAATAGGCTCCAACTTGTCTCTACAGCTCAACTTAATACAAAAGCATTCTCTCCTTGCCACTGCTGGAACAGAAACACTGGTAACTGGTAGGGTTTCTTAATAGATCAGTGCCACCCCCACCCCAATCCTAGTCTCTAAGCTGAAGAGGATCCAAAATCCAGCCAGACAGATTTCAGAGGCAGTAATATCATTAGCATCACCTACTGTAGCTGGATCTCAGTAATACATATCAGATTTTCTGTGGTCACCCATGTTTATATCATGGAGGTGTTTTTAATGCAAATGTTTAACACTCACTCCTCAAGGCCAGATATACGGTTCACCATATAATTTGATAAAATACAAGAATATTAATGCTAGTTGGTCAGTTCATATTATTAAAACATCAGAGTTAAATCCCTTTAATATAACTATTGTTTGCAATTATACTAGGCATGTTTTTCAAAAGCAAGTCCATCTCTGTTCAATGATATTTACAGCACACAGTAATAGAAATTGTAGAAAAAAATATGAAGTGATAATTACAATCTAAAATTGGCTGATTTAGGTCATAACAAAACAAATGTCTGCTATTTCAAGGTTTTGTACAAATTATTTTCTTTCAACTCATAAAAATGATTTGCTTTAACTATGGGCGCGCAATGTACAAAATTCTTCATAGAGGAAATTTATCTGGTCACTAAGAGTCAACACCAACTATATCACATAATCAATCAATCAATCAAAAGTATATTAAAAATAACAATCTTTAAGTTTCATTTTCTCCTTTTAAAGCCTCAAAACTATATCTTCAACAACCTGAGAGAAGATACTGTAGTGTAGAGCACCTACATTTAATATTTATGAGATACAATACATGCTTTCATGCAGCTGAATAAAAATAATGTGTCCTGATTTTTAAGTTCATATATGTACTATTTACCTAACAATATATCTTGTTGCCATTCAATTGTCTCATGTGGTATGACAGTTTTAAAGATATTATTCCTGACTGGTGGAAGCTTATCATGGGAATTCAGTCTGTGGACTGATAGTGAAAGAAGAGCTACAGTTTGTATTTCTGAGTGTTACATAAGACATTAATGTTATCAGTTATTTAATATTTAAATGCAGTGTCCTTTTGATGTTGCTTATAGAAACCAAATGTAAAGTCAAACAAACTGATCTGGTTTAACTACATTTCTTTGGAGACAGGAATAGGTGGCATTATATGAATATATTTTTTCTCATTCACTATATATATAAATTCTAAAGAGGTCATTTGATGTTTAAAGCAATATCTTTTATATAACTATGTTTCTGGGTATTTATATACCTAACGCCAGCCAGATAGAGCAAGAGAAAGTGTTGTTGGAAAGTAGGTATGATATAGATATTTTTCCACCGGCCATACCTGGCATAACTTAAAGGAAAGATGGCACTTCGTGGCTATGACACTATGATGAAAATAACATGTAGAAAAAGATTTAAAAAGAGGTTATGATTATATTTCACTAAAATCAATGAGATAGTCTCACAGAATTCATTTGAATGTGGTATAAGATTAGATAACACTGAGATTAAATTGTTTAAGCAAATGCTTGAAGAAAATGAATTCAGTTGGAATGAAGTGCTAATGAGCTTTACCGAGACTTAATCTATTTATTCAAATTTATTATAGAGTAATCTAATTTGGATTGTTGTCTACTTCCTTCTTGGCACAGCAGAAGGTAAGGCAATTTACCATGCATTATATTTTGCCGCAGAACAATTTCATGTTTAGTTTAACAAAGAAGTAGATAATAATACTCTTTTTCATATTTTATATTGATTAATATAAATTAATTTCATTAATTCATGTACTAATTTTTGTCAGCTGTACCAGCAAGTAAATACAGCTACCAAACCTAATGATGTTACATGTATTTTGTAGGGTATTATTATGTGTGCAATTCTAACTGTATATAATCATGATGTCATGTGTTCATGTGTATGTATGTGTGTTTGATTACCGTCTACAATGAATGGTAGAGCTCTTCAATTTTTAAAAATTTCAGATCTTTTTTATATTTGTGCTTGCTGTCTTTCTCCAACCATTATAGTAAAAGTTGATGGTATTTTCTTGAAGAGCAAGTCAATATTAATGGAACTATGACTTAGCTCCATTATATTTTAAATTTCCAAGTTTTCTTTTGAAAAGAGAAATTTTCTCTTAATTAACTGTTAATCTCTTAAAATATTATTATGTTATATAATGTGTGATAAAATCTAATTATAAATGTGATAAATTGTTCTCCCTCTTCAAATTTGTGAATTATCTAGAGCAGGGGTGTCAAACTCTTAACATCACGTGACGTGTCGCAACTTATCGTGATTTTTTTTCCCATTGCCAGCAATGGGGTGGGCGCAGTTTTGCTCTGATGCATCCAGCCCATGGGCCGGCAGTTTCACCCCCCTGATCTAGAGTGAGACATAAATATAAATGGATCAGAGCCAAATTTTAGAGGAGCAACATGAAGATATAAGAGTTCTCTGATAGCAAGTGCAATTTGTTTCAGTGACTTGGTCACTGAACTTGGTCACTTAAGTCATCACTAAATGAAAATCAGATGACTTCAATTTTATTTCAGATTTGCTTTACAGCATCAAAATGATACAACCCCCAAAATTTTCAGGCAGCAAGGCCATTGGGTCAGAGGGATCTAATCAGCTAATGCTAAGAATGATAGTGTTATGGTTCCGGCTAATGAAACACTTCAAAGAACTTCCAGGCATTGATTTTCCTAAAAGTCATTTATTGTTACAAAATGTCGGCACAGGCATAACGGAGGTATGCCAAGATCTAAATTCTCCTCCCCCGAGCAATTAAATTATCAGCATGTTCCCTCCCTAAATTAGCAGTCATATATCACGTTATCCAATCAGTGTGAAGGTCAAAGGTTTCCTTCCTCTCTTTTTCCTGGGCTTTTCCCCCACCCTCTTCTATTCTGCATTAACTCTAAAGATACCAGACAATTCTGCATATTGTCAAAGCAAGAATATACAGTATTTGCAGCGTTAACAAATAGCCTAGGGCAGGGGTGTCAAACTGCTGGTCCAAGGGCCGGATGCATTATCCGGAAGCTGCACCTACCCCATTGCCAGCAATGGCAAAACCGTTCCAATATGTTGCACGACTTCACGTGATGTCGCGACTTTGACATGTCTGGCCTAGAGCAGCAACAGATATTTCTCTATCAGGGCACCAAGAGAAAATATTTGCTGTGAACTCTTCTTAGGCATTTGGAAGAGCATTCGGCCAGAAAACGCTCAGTCATCCCAACTCCACCCCAATAAAAGGGATTACAGGGTCGTAAAAAGAAAAAAATGCTAAGCTTGTTAACTTTTTAGGGATACACTGCATTGCAGAAAAAAGCAGTTCAGGAAAAGCTAGTTTGTTTAAGCAATCTTTCTACTCTGGGGGGAATGGAAAAAGATGCAATATTGTACTGCAGGTATTTGTTGTTTATCAACTGCCCCATATAATAACCATTGAAAGTTACAATAGAGTTAAAAAAATGTTTTGCAACCCTTGCAGTATCCCTTAATCATATGATTGCCGTTCAGCCCTTTCTTAACCAGCATTCATTTATGACTACTTAAGCGCCTTATAGTAAAGTGATTACCATTTGTGTGCTTCACAACTGAGGTGAATAAACAGTATTGTTAGAGAAGGCAGAGTCATAGTCATGTGAAGTTTCACTTACTGACTGTGGCGTTTCCCTTAACAATTGAAATGATGGCATGACATTTTGTTTAATGGCCATAATACTTAATGACAGTCCCAATTGTGGTTGGTAAGCAAGGACAACTGGGAATGTGGGATACACACATACACAAACACACAAACACACACACACAGAGAGAGAGAGAGAGAGAGAGAGAGAGAGAGAGAGAGAGAGAGAGAGAGAGAGAGAGAGAGAGAGAGAGATTGCAACGATTGTAAATGTATGTCGGTCACAGAGTTACTTTTTTATCACCACTGTAATTGCAAATTGTCACTGTTCAAGATAATTACTAAACAAAGAATGCCTATAGTTGGTTCCATTTATCTAGAAGGCAGTATGTTAGGAAAGGCTGATATGCACATTTAAAATATTTAAGGTGAGCTGTCCTAAAATTATCTGCAGAGAGATATTTATACTTACAAATGTACAAAATGAATGAATTTAGAAAAAAGATGAATGAATCCAATTATTTTCAGAATTTGCCTTGTGTGTTCTCTAGCCAATGAAGTCTGTTATGAAACAATAGGCTGCTTTTCTGATAAACCCCCTTGGTCAGGAATACCTGGGAGACAGCTGTTTGGCTTACCAGCATCTCCAGAAAAGATGAATATCTCTTTCTCCCTTTTCACAAAAGAAACTGGAAATCTCTCACAAGTATGTTTATTATTATTACTATTGTCATTGCTTCCTGCTGCTATTTTATTATCTGTTTATAATTTATTTATTATTGTACATATATCTATTTTTTTCCTTCCATATCATCTAGAAACAGAGATGGATTTATTTTTTAGACTCTGACTAATTAGATGGATAAAAATGCATACTAAACAATGTATTTAACATTGCTAGTTGCAAATCAGTGCAATTATAGTTCTTATTTGGCCAGTAATTGTCTGAATTAGTACTAATCAACTCACTGAGTTACCTAAAATACCAAAATTGGCTAAAGATATTTGCAACTGTGAATTAGAAAAAAGCTATTTTTTTAACGGATTGGCTGCAAGGTTTGACTACTTATGATCTGATGACTAAGGCAAATCAGTATGTTTTATTATTTTCTTGCCATCTGGATAACAGCAATGGCATGATAACCTCATTTCATATGTTAGTCAGAGAAACTGTGAAGTTAATTGGTAAAACTGTCGATTGGAAGCGGTCAGAAACATCTGTTTATAATGGAATCTAAGGTTCAAGGTACATGTAGCTAAAAGATATACAGTATGTTACTCAGTGGTGGGATTCAAATATATGAACAACCGGTTTTTTGGGTGGATGCCGCTTCTGGAAGTCCATTCTGGGCTTGGGCAACAAAAAATTAGCTACCGGTTCTGCCGAATGGTGCGAACTGGCTGAATCCCATCACTGATGTTACTTCAGACATTAAGAAAGAGCTTTTAGCAATTGCCTAGATTTGAGCATGTCCTGGGTGATACTATTGAGCCCACTCATTTATTTCTGATCAAAAAATATAGAGATTTGTTAAGTTTGGCTTTATGAGAATATTTAGGACCAAGAAAATATGTTACATTCTTTGCTTTGAAAATGTTAGATACTTAAAAGAATTTGTTATATCATTATCTTTAAATTCCCCTGCAGAGAATAATGTACAATAAATTATCAAGTGTCCAAAATTCTAACTTCTCCCCACTGAGGAAAACTCGCTTTGTTATCCATGGATATACAAGCACTGGAAAATATGGCTGGGTTGTGGAGCTGTGTTTGGTATGAGATTTCCTTATTTTGGGGAAAAAGAGGGGGAAATTTTAATATGCCTCTTTTGCCTAACAAATACATGGTTTAAGTCATGGGTTGGCAATTTAGAATACATCAGGGGACTACTGTTATTCCAAACAACCCTCCAATTGTTTTCATTGGTTGCTTTAAAATAATCATATTTATTTATAATAATGCCCCTGGATCATTTGCTGGGTTTTATTGTTTTTCTTCCCATTGTGCAACTGGAGTGTTTTTATCTTCATGAGTCATAAGATTTCAGTAGGAATATTTTACAGATCAGTTGTTGCCTACTCCTAAAGCACTATGATGTTTATTATATGTGCTAATGTGCAGGAAATTGGTAGATGACCCAGGACTGTGTGGCCTGGGGCTGAATTACAAATCCCTGTGGATCTTAAGAACTTGGTGATCAGGTTTTTTTTTTTTAAAGAATCTATTTTGTTGACATTCATCATCCAAATGTAATTTTTTTTTATACATCACTGTAATGCTATAGCTTCTGGTGGATGTGGAAGACATTAACTGTTTTGCTGTTGACTGGGAAGATGGAGCTAAATGCACGTATTTCATTGCTGGCAGCAATATCCGTGTTCTTGGAGCGGTGATAGCTAAATTTATCTTTACTATGATGGTGAGATTTTAAGTTAAATATATTATGAAACATTGAAGGTCCTGATATTACCTGCAGAAATGACATATTATCTATTTACCAATGTATCTGTATTAATTGTACAAAATAAACTTAAAAGCATTTTATATATTAAAATAGGAGTTTAGATCAAGCCTCTAAGCCAGGGATGTCCAGCCTTGGCAGCTTTAAGACCTGTGGACTTCAACTCCCAGAATTCCACAAGTCTGTAAGTCTTAAAATTGCCAAGGTTGGACAGCACCATGCATCTTTTCAGATTCTCATATGAACATGTTAAAATCTAGAATAAAACGGATACTAATTTTTAAAGGTTTCCCCATGGTGTTACACAGTGCAATTTTTGGCATTAATACCCTTCTTTTCTTAAAAAAAACCTAGACAATATTTAAGTACGAAAATTTTTTAAGAATGTTTATCTAAGAATATTAAACTAACAAATGGCAAAAACATCAGTACTCCAAACCAAATCTGAAGCAAATTAATCAGATACATCCTGTAGGGAATATGTAGCTTATTAAATTGGTTTGAGGGCTTTTCAAATTGCTGTTAATAATGTGCTTGTCACATCTTACGGAATTCTGCAAGTGGGTCACTATAAGAAAGACCAACCTAGCAATTCTCAGATGAGTCAAATGACAAAGGCCTTTGTCCCTGATCTTGTAGTAAATCAAATTGATTCTTAAAACTCTTATGAATTGCCACAAGTTCCATGTGCAATATAACAATCATAGATACAATCAGTATATAATATGTACTCAATAGATCATATTCAGCACCTGCAGGAAGATAACATAAACTAAATATAAACAATAACATAACACAGTTGTCAAAATAATTCACTGGAACGTCTGTAAAATATGGCATGGTAATGAATAATGAAAAGTTGGGGGAACTTATAGTTGAAAAATTATTTAAAAATGAGCAGGTTAAAACATTATGGGATGTTAAAATATGAACTGATAAAATGTAGACAACCAGATTTAACTGTAGTTGAAAAGAAAATAGTGTGGATAATTTATGTTATGATACCAGGAGATAGCAGAATAGAAGACAAAGCATTAGCAAAGATCACAAAGTATGAAGATCTGAAAATCAAAGTTGAAAGATTATTGCATAAACCAAAGAACTGGCAGATATGATTTCACATTTATTGTATACATAATAATAATATTATTGTTCCAATAAGGGAGATAATAATCAAGCATGCAATAAAAAATAAGCAACAATTAATAAAATGTGAAATTCTATAACATCGGGCCAATAGTTTTAATTAAAAACATTTCTTACAAGAACCTCTTTGGTTAATAACAATATGAAAAAAATATTATCTATGCTCATCCATGGCATTTCTATGTCTTTTGAAGCCTTGTGGCTGAATCTAATAGAAAAGGTATTTCTTCTTGAGAAACATTATTTCACACAAAATAGAAAGGACACTGAATTCTTCTGACATATTTATATAACTTCTATCCATCCTAAACATTTTAAACAAACACTTGAGCACTGATTTATTTTCATATAAACACTATATTACAAAGTCCAACTGAAATTATTCTAAATCTTATAAATTATTTAATTTTGGAGTACTATATTGCAATTTCATACAATTTTAATAGGTAAAAATATTTGCTCAGAATATTCTGTTTAAATCATGGATCAAAGTCTGTCTGGTGATTTGTGTATACTTCAAACAGGAGGAGCTGTAGAGAACTGTGGTCAATGTAATCAACATAATTGTGAATCCTAAAAGTAGGTCAATTTTATTACAATACAGGAAAATTCTGATTCATCTGCAAATTATCAGAATGCTGTTTTACTTGCTAATCATTGTCCCCTTTTTTGAATTACTAGAAAATCTATCAGTATTGTCCTTCCAACGTCCATCTCATTGGCCATAGTCTTGGTGCTCATACTGCTGGAGAGGCTGGAAGACGACTTCAGTATGTTAGCAAAAAATCTCCTGGCATTGGAAGAATAAGTGGTATGCTATCCAAAGTTATCATACATTGCAATCTTAATTGAAATACAGGAAGGCTTGAAGTGGAAGTCAATCAATCTGGGAAACTTAACCAGGTTAAAGGTAAAGTAAGTTGTTTTTGCTGACTCTTAGCCTTCCTGTGACACACATTAAGCATCCTGCTTAAGAAATGCTGCTAATCTTTTCATAATCACATTATCCAGTGTGTGTGTGATGTGTGAAATTGGGCATGTTGGCTGCAATTAATGCTGTCATATATGTATGTATGTATATGTATGTGTGTGTATACACACACACATATACTGTACATACGCTTACACATATATATATATATGACAGCATTAATTGCAGCCAACATGCCCAATTTCAAAAGGCAACATGCATTCTTTATTTCCCTTTTTATTTCCCAGTTTCAGGCAGGTTGGAGATTGTGCTCTTTTTATCTATGGGTAGTTCTCCACATACAACAGTTCATTTAGTGACCATCTCACTTAACAACAGAAATTTGGGGCTCAATTGTGGTCGAGGACTACTTGAGTTTTCGTTCAGGAAAGAAGCTATTTCAAGAAACTAGCAATATCTGTTTTTAATTTTCACTGATTAAATCAATTAGAAGAATAAGAAGCTGGTGTAACATCTTGTTCTGCTGACACAAAAAGCTGGATAGCCACGCAGGAATATTGAGTTGGTCCTGACTATATACACATATCCTATTATGCTATTAAACCATTCCATCTCTCTCATTCTCCTTGTCTTTCTGTTGCTTCTGTACTGGACACTCTGTACTGGCACTATTTTAACTTTATTTTAACATTTGGGAAAGCTGCAGAGTGAGTTGCAGTTGCAACTGGCATTTTTTCTTTGTTTTTCCTGGATGGCTTTTTTTAGAAAAGGCAAAGAGAGGCCATGCTGAATATAGATGTGTCAAAATTTAGATGTCCATCATGTTGAAGGATGATAGGACTGAGATGAGCGACTACAAAAATTGAATAAAGGCCTTCAATCAAGATCTTATTATTAATCTGAACATTCCCAAAGAATTTCATTCCCTATTACCTTTATGATCCTTTAGGAGAAGGAAAGAAACTCTGCCAGTATGGAGCTGTTAAATCTGGTATGCAAGCGTAACTTGCAAATCTTAAGGAGCAAAGTCCAAAGTTTTGTATATTCCTTTACTTACCATCAAAAAAAATCAAGTAATGCTTCAGATTTCATATGTGTCTCTAACTATAATGTGTCCCTTTTCTCAGACTTCTGGGTTTATGTAAGAAAGAATAATGACCACCAAGCAGTTATTAATTTTAATGGGCATCAGACCGCAGACCCCATACCACAACTGATAGATGAGTTTCATTTCATGTAGAGATCCATCAGGACAAAGTGGATATAAGGCTTTCGACTGAATACATGAAATCTGATCAAGCCCTGACTCTGGTAAACACAGTTACCTCATCTTGCACAGATGTCGTCATTGTTTTTACAGCTTGTAAAAACCTAAATGCAGAGCAAAGAAAATTCTTAATTGAAAAGGCCCTACCTAGAAGGATCTAGATAAAAGGCCCTGATTGGTTTGACTCAGAGTATGGCTCTCTGAGGAAAAAAAAACTGAGGCTCACTATGCATACAGCACAAAACTATCCATCAAATAATAATTATGTTGCCATGCTAGCTCTCAGTCAAGAGTACAAGTTGAAGAAGCTTCAATGCTTGTCCTCTCTCTGGTTAAATTTAGAGTAAGCAGCCAAAAACTAAACCCAGCCATTTTCTGGCACTCAGTTGTAAGTCTATTATAGGAACATAGGTTCTCCCTGGACACCCCTATACCTACTTCCACATGAGAGGAATATTATAGTCAATAATAATAATAATAATAATAATAATAATATGAAGATGCACTGAAATTAGTATATCAGGAAGGCTTACTGACTACTGGAGAGACCAAACTGACCTACAAGAAAGACCAAATGAAGAACAGAATAGAGGCACGGGAAGACAAAGCACTACATGGCCAATACATTAAAAAAATAGCTGGGAAAGCAGATAATAACAAGACCTGGCAATGGCTAAGAGCAGGAAAATTGAAGAAAGAGACCGAGGGACTAATTCTGGCTGCACAAGTCCAAGCCTTAAGGACAAATGCATATAAAGTCAAAATTGAGAAGACAGCAACAGACAGTAAGTGCCGCCTATGCAAAGAAGCTGAAGAAACAGTGCACCACCTGGTAAGCTGTTGCAAGAAGATTGCACAGACTGACTACAAGCAGCGGCATGACAAATTAGCAACAATGGTGCATTGGAAGATCTGTAAAAAAATCATTTGCCTGCAAAAACTGGTGGGATCATAAAATAGAGAAAGTCATAGAAAATGATAAAATTAAACTGCTCTGGGACTTCAGAATTCAAACAGACAAGCACCTGCAACATAATACCCCAGACTTAACAATTGTCGATAAGAAAGACAAAAAAGTCTGGATAGTGGACATGGAGACAGCAGAATAGACGAGAAAGAACTGGAAAAGATAACAAAATACAAAGATCTACAAATAGAAATAGAAAGACTGTGGCAAAAGCAAGCAAGCAAGGGTAGTACCAATAGTAATAGGCTCCTTGGGTGCAATCCCAAAACAACTGGAGCACCACTTGAACACCATTGGCATTGACAAATTCGCTATTAGTCAATTGCAAAAGGCGGCCTTATTAGGAACTGCTTCCATCCTGCGACGATATCTGTAATACCATCAAACATCCACATCTGCCTATCCCAGGTCCTGGGTAAGGACTCGATAGGTAGACAAAATGCCAAATCCAGTCTGAACATCTGGCTGACTGTGCGATGATCCAATAATAATAATAATAATAATAATAATAAATAATAAAGTTGGAAGGGACCTTGGAGGTCATCTAGTCCAACCCCCTGCTCAGGCAGGAAACCCTACACCATTTCGGACAAATGGCTGTCCAGTCTCTTCTTAAAAACTTCCAGTGTTGGAGCATTCACCGCTTCTGGAGGCAGGTTGTTCCACTGGTTAATTGTTCTCACTGTCAGGAAGTTTCTCCTTAGTTCTAGGTTGCTTCTCTCCTTGATTAGTTTCCATCCGTTGCTTCTTGTCCTGCCTTCAGGTGCTTTGGAAAATAGCTTAACTCCCTCTTCTTTATGGCAGCCCCTGAGATATTGGAACACTGCTATCATGTCCCCCCTTGTCCTTCTCTTCATTAAACTAGACATACCCAATTCTAGCAACCGTTCCTTATATGTTTTAGCCTCCAGTCCCCTAATCATCTTTGTTGCTCTTCTCTGTACTCTTTCTAGAGTCTCAACATCTTTTTTACATCGTGGTGACCAAAACTGGATGCAGTATTCCAAGTGTGGCCTTACCAAGGCATTGAAGAGTGGTATTAATACTTCACGTGATCTTGATTCTATCCCTTTGTTAATGCAGCCTAGCACTGTGTTGGCTTTTTTGGCAGCTGCAGCACACTGCTGGCTCATATTTAAGTGATTGTCCACTAGGACTCTGAGATCTCTCTCACAGTTACTACTATTGAGCAAGGTACCCCCTATACCAGTGGTGGCGAACCTATGGCACCAGTGCCAGAGGCAGCACTCAGAGCCCTCTATATGGGCACGCACACCGTTCCCCCAGCAGAGTTCACCAGAGTAGCGAGCATGTGGCGTTTGGAAGTGACAGGGCAGGAAGTGAGCGAGCAAGCGGCGTTGGCCCCCCGGGGATGCCCCAGAGATGGCAAGGGACTGGCCCCCACCACCCTGGCCCTGGACATGCTCACCCAGTCTGCCGTGACCACTGCAGCCATGCTACCCAGTGGCCATATCCCCCCTGAGGGCACCAAAATGCTGATGCAGCCCTGGCACTTTGTGATAAATAAGTGGGTTTTGGGTTGCAGTTTGGGCACTCGGTCTCTAAAAGGTTTGCCATCACTGCCCTATACTATATCTGTACATTGGTTTTTCTTGCCTGAATGTAGAACCTTATTTTTTTCACCATTGAATTTCATTTTGCTAGATAGCGCCCAGTGTTCAAGTCTGTCCAGGTCCTCCTGTATCTTAAGCCTATCTTCTGGAGTGTTGGCTATTCCTACCAGCTTGGTGTAATCCGCCATTTGATGAGTTCCCCATCTATCCCCATCTATCCCCTCATCCAAATCGTTGATGAAGATGTTGAAGAGCAGTGGGCCTAGAACAGAGCCCTGGGGCATCCCACTACACATTTCCTTCCATGTAGATGCAGTTCCATTGAGGACCACATGCTGAGTACGGCCGGTCAACCAGCTATGAATCCATCTGGTGGTGATGTTGTCTAACCCACATTTTTCTATCTTATCGAGTAGTAGGTTGTGATCTACTTTATCAAATGCCTTACTGAAGTCCAAGTAAATTATGTCCACAGCATTCATCTGATCCACTAATTCTGTCACTTGGTCAAAGAATGCAATAAGGTTTGTCTAGCATAATCTGTTGGTTTTTAGTAGTGATTTTGTTTGCCTCTAGATGTTCGCTGATTCGTTGTTTGATTATCTTTTCCAGAATCTTCCCAGGTATTGAGGTCAGGCTGATAAGTCTGTAATTTTCTGGATCCTTTTTTTTTTCCTTTTTTGAAGATTGGAACTACATCAGCTCTTTTCCAGTCCTCTGGTAGTTCCCCAGTGCTCCAGGATCTTTGAAAAATATAGTTCAGTGGTTCTGAGATCACATCTGCCTGTTCCTTGAGAACCTTGGGGTGTAATCCATCTGGTCCTGGTGATTTGAACTCATCTAGGCTGGACAGGTGCTCACTTACCATTTTCTTGCCTATTTTAACTTGTGTTTCTATTCTGTTTTTTATGGCACTCTTTTTGATAGGTTGGTCTGTTTTTTCCGTTTGTGTAAAGACAGATGCAAAAAATGAGTTAAATAGTTCTGCTTTCTCCATATTGCTTGTCACCTTCTTGCCACGTTCACACACTAATGGACCAATCATTTCCTTCACTTTTTTCCTGTTTTTTACATGTTGAAAGAAGCTTTTTTGTTATTTTTGACTTTGGTCGCAAGCCTTAGTTCATTATGAGCCTTAGCTTTCCTCACTTCATCTTTGCAGGCTTGGGCTATTTGCTGATATTCTGACTTAGTTATGTGCCCCTCTTTCCACTTTCTATACTTTCTAGCCATGCTGGTTTCTTTTGAGAGCTGTTATTTTTCCTCTTTATTGGTATTGTGCTAGACTGGGCTTTTATTATCTCGCTTTTCAAAATTTCTCAAGCTTCTTGAGTTATTTTCCCCTTGAGGATTCTCATTCATGGAGTCCTCCTCAAGCCCTCTCTAAGTTTTTGAAATTAGCTCTCTTGAAGTCCAAGACTCTAGATTGACTGTGTTCTATTGCTTGTGCTTCCATAAAGTTGAATTTCAATATTGCATGATCACCACTTCCCAAGGTTCCTGTGGCTTCAACACCTTCTATCATTTCATTTCTGTTAGTGAGAATTAGATCCAAAATTGCTAGTTTCCTTCTCTACTTTTTGGGAGACAAAGTTGTCTGCTAGGTTTGTCAGGAATCTGTTTCATCTTCCACTTGGTGCAAAGTTTGTCTCCCAGTTGATGTCAGGATAGTTAAAGTCCCCCATTACTATCGTGATGTACTTCCTACATACCTTAGTTAGCTGACTAGCAAAAAGTTCATCTATTTCCTCTGTTTGGTTGGGTGGCTTATAGGATACACCTATGGCAATGTCATTTTTTCTCCCTTTTATATTGACCCAATTATATTCTCCCTTTTATATTGACCCAACTTTCCCAAGTTGTAGTGGACTAGAGGATACACAAAATGATCAACAGAAGGCCTGTAGCTCTACTCCACCATGACCTCCAGTGACTGAATGGGAAAGTAGAGATCTAATTCAAACCCTGAAGCCCAACATGGCTCCCCGAGAAGATCTTCTACCCACCAAATACTAAATATCTTTTACATCTTTTACAATTACCCTACATTAAGGATAGGGTAATTGAAAAGGACCTGCTTCCCAAAGACAAAACTGGTTTTAGATCAGGTTACTCCACTATTGACAAGTGCTCCATTTTATGTCATTTAATAGAAAAGCGTATAATTAAAAGGACCCAACTGTTTACAGCCTTTATAGATCTCAGTGCAACATTCAATTCAATAAACAGGGATCTTCTTTGGAAGAAACGTATGGATTTGATCATAGACTCCGGACTTCTCTCTTTAATCAAGTAATTACTCTCAGACTTATGCTTAAGGGTAAGCATAGGAATGCATGGATCCCTAACTGTAAAAATTAGCACCAAGAAAGGAGACAGACAAGGTTCCCATTCTGTTTAACCTGTACATCAGTGACACCCCAACATTCCTTCACTCTTCCGATGTGCATATGTCTTAAGTTAAAAACAAAAATGTAAACCTTCTGCTTTATTCTGATGACATGATATTGATGTCACACACCCAGTAGGGATGTAAAGACTGTTGCACAGGTTCAGTACAGACTGTGCACTCAACTACCTGAACATCAAGATAGTTATTTTTGGAAAGAAGTGGACCAGGTTGGATCCTAGAGAGGGGATGCATAAAACAAGTAAGTTCTTATTTATACTTAGGACTTATCTTCACAGAAACAGGTTCCTGGCTCCTGCATTTTAAGAGGAGTTCCTCAAAGGCTACAGCTTATGCCAATTCCAGAAGGCAATCTACCAACCCTATTTTCTAATTCAAATCATAAAGGTATATAATAGCAAAATTGTCCCAATGACTACATATGGTGCAGAACTGTGGGGAATATATAAATGCTCCCTTATAGGAACTGATACAATCTACTTTTTTGAAATGCATGTTGGGGGTGGATAACTCTATGTCAGCCCCAGCAGAAAGGGCAGAGTTGGGTATACAAAGCCATTTAATAATTAAAGTATTTAATTACTGGCTGGAGATCCTATCCATGGACCCAGATAGACTATCCAAGCTGTACTTTGAAGAGCAAGTATACAACAAACAACCTTGCACTGGGCCACCCTCAATATAGATTCTCCATCCAGTTTCCAGATCTAAAGGCCAAGGAAGCTTTCAAACAAAGAGTTATTGATGTGGTTGCCCAAGATGATATTGCAGCACTTAAAAGTGTCAAATCTCTGGAGGGCTGGCTCATAAATCACCCTCCCAATTAGAAAAATGTTTAACAACTTACATTCGCCTCAACATCTCAGAAGAGTTGTTTCTAGAGCTTAATTCAAACAACTGGACTCCAAGGTAAGACATGGGAGGTTTCATGGAGTCCCAATTGAAGACAGATTGGGCATTTGTGGAGCAACAGCCATTAAAGAAACTGGACAAATTCTTGTCAATGCAAATTGAACTTCCCCCAAGGAGGTGCTTATTTAGATCCTTCTTTAAAATCTAAAAAATATTGGGGCACCTGGGAGAAACAGGCAACAAATATGTACATTCTTGCAGGAACAAAGCTGCACATCCTCAGTAAGAAGGAGTCTTCCATGTCCTTCATTCCAATGGCCTCTCAAAGAGGACAGAATACTTTGATCAGTTTCGAGTTAACTGTAGGGGTAATGATCTATTAGGAAGTTCTGATTTCTTTTTATCTATTTACCTTTTAGATATGTTTTATATATTTGATATAGTCAATTGACTTAATAAAATTCTTCTGTTTTATCTTATACAATTTTATCTTATTCTTTCACTTTATCTTTCTTAATGGGGTTATTTTTTTTTCTATTTAGGCTTAGACCCAGCAGCAATTGGTTTTGAAGGATTCCCTGAGATGGTCCGGCTAGATCCTTCTGATGCTGGATTTGTGGATGTCATACACAGCAACGGGGCCCGATTTCCTTTAGGTAAGTGGCCAGATACAACTGAATTTTGTGATAGAAGCAACAACAGGGATTAATCATGTAACATATTTTGAATTTATTACAGGGCTTGGGATGTTTAATGCCACTGGTGATATGGACTTTTATCCTAATGGTGGAAAGTTTATGGTTGGATGTAATGCAAGAGAACAGGATCAGAAACAGGAAGGTAAAATAACCCTGTCCTCATTTTCCTAAAGGTAACCCTATCTTCATCTTCAGCATTTACATTCATAAGCATTATACTGGCAATATAACTCTAACCCAGACTGAGTCTCTTAGGATTGAGTAGATGAATTGCTCTGTTCCCTACCCATCAGGATTGGGTTTCAGGTTTTGGGGGATTCAGAAGCAATGAGCACCCAGTATGAGTACTTAAGGTTTTATTCCAAGGCAATGTAAGAAATAAAAATATAATGTTCAGAACTACTAAAGATATTAAAGAAGAAAAGAAAAAAGAAAGATTTTATGCCCCTTCTGCTAACAAGGGAACTCCAGAGTGATAACAGAGAGCAATACTCTTCAAACCAGTGACTATGCAGCACGGTTCCAGTGAAGTCTCCATCTCATGGGGGGGGGGAAGTTTCTGATAAGTTAATATGGGCTCAAACTACCACTAATCACACCTATTTCAGTAACTTTATCTCATCTGGTTCAACAAGGACAAGGAGGAAAAGTTTCCCTTACTTTGTTCTTGAAATGCTTTGCCTACATCTACCAACAATGAGGCCATTCCAAGGTTAAGTAATATTTATTTATACTAAGCAATTTATAGCAAGGATGACAAAGATCTTTTCCCTCTTCATGGTGTTTCACACCAAGGGCAGAAACAAACAGATAAATGTTTAATTCTATAATATATATTCAACCATTAAATAAGAGTATGACATTCTATGCATTCTATGCACCAATGTATCAATTCCTCCCTATCAATCTTGCAGCAAAACCACCATTACTACACTGGATATTCACACCTTAGAGCCTGGGCCTCACTGCCAATTAGCAAGAGAATGTATTTGAAGAATAATGAAAAATGAAACAAAACAATGGACACAAATCCAAGGCAAAATAGGACAAATATCATTTGAAACAATAATCTTCTAAAAATAAATAATGTTTTTGTGCACAGAGCCTGTACTCTTTAAAATATTATATGGTCTGTCAAGGGATTCATAAGATGAAATGAAATCATCCATGGAGGAAATGGTAGAAAATGTTTTACGTTTTATAGACGTTTGAAGCCTATCAGACCAATTTCATTTCGTTTTCCACTGAAAATCAAAGTGCTATTATTTCACAGTTTGATGGCATTTTGGTGTGACAATCTTGAAAGGGTCTGGTGGTCCAACAAAGAGGGTGAAAGGGTCACATTTAGCCTATTATGCAGCATATAATTTTTACTAAACAAGTTATCTTAGACTTTTATCAGGTTCCCAACCAATAGCTACCATGCTATCCATTATAATTCCTTCTTCCACTAATTTATTCATGCTCACAATAATGTACTCATTTGATTTATATTCCACCTCTTCTCCATGAACTTAAGGTGCTTCACGTATCAGTCCCTTTGTTACTTTTATCCTCACAATAATAGCCCTGTGAAGTAAGGTGGGCTGAAAGATAGTAAATGAGAATAAGCTTAGCATTTTAATTAAAACAAAGTCACTTGCAGTAGACAAAGCAGAACAAAATGACATTGTGGTTTCTATTATATTGCAAGTAATGATAGAGTTATTTCTTTTGCTAGAGATTCGTTTGGTTGGGAATTGCCATCACTCACGAAGTCATGAGTACTACAAATACAGCATTCTCTACCCTAGTGGGTTCCTGGCCTATCCCTGCAAATCATACAAATCTTTTCAAGCGGTAAGCATGCTATTCTGCCCTAGTTCAATCCAATTAGTTTCTTTAAACAGGTTCATTCAAAGTATAAGCATGGCACTGTATGCTGGAGTTCATTGTATTAAAGTTCAATATAGCTAAAGAACAAATCCACATTTTTAAGGAAAAACAAATCCATAAACTCTGAGCTTTCGTTCTTGGCATCAGGCCTCAAATATGTGACATGCTACAGACTGTTGAAGTTGTTCACACACAATAGCTTTTCATCACTGTCAAATAGTCACCAGTTCCAGGTTTGAGTAGGAAGTTCCTCTCAATGAGTTACTTTTCTCCTGCCACATTGTTATCTTCTTGCAGCTATTGTTTCTTCTACTCACTTCCAGAAAGCTGGACTGAGTAAGTGTGCTTACTGCAAATATAAAAGGATTAGCTGCAGGCCACTGGTGGGCAATAGTGGATATCCTATCAAAAATAGGGTGTTGGCAGGTGCCATCACCACTTTCCCATATCCAGGATCTGGTATAAATCTATCTGTACAAACCACCTTCTTGTGACCTCTCGTTTTAAAAATTAAATCTTTATCTTAATCTTTCCCTGTTAGTGGGTAGTGGTAGGGGGGGAGGCATTAGTATGAATAAATGAATAAATCAAAACAACAAAGCAGCCAACAGAACTGAAATATAGGTAGTTCTTGACTTAAAACAGTTCATTTAGTGACCTTCAAAGTTACAACACTGGAAAAAATGATTTATGACCATTTTTTTCACATTTATAAGAGTTGTAGCCCTCACAGCAGCCATGTGATCAAAATTCAGACACTTGGCAGTTGACTTATATTTATGCTGCAGTGTCTGGGATCATGTGATCTCCTTTTGTGACCTTCTGACAAACAAAATCAATGGGAAATCTGGATTCACAACGTTTGATTAATTTAACAAATGCAGTGATTCACATAACAAATGTGGCAAGAAAAGTCATAAAAAGGGGAAAATTCACTTAACAACTGTCCCACTTAGCAACATAAATTTTTGGTTGTAAGTCAATGACTACCTGCAATCACATCTACTATTTGCCATTTGAGATGATAAGCCAGGATAACAGTGCATATTTGAATGTATAATAAAGATTATAGTAGAAACAGTGAGAAGTCTTGAAAAAAGCCTTTGGAACCAATCTATTTATTTTATCCTAGGGAAATTGCTTTCCATGTCCCACAGAAGGCTGCCCAGTAATGGGTCACTATGCTGATCAATCCCATGATAAACTGAAGAAAAGCAATCAAAGCTACTATCTAAACACTGGATCTAAGGAGCCCTTCACCAGTGAGTATATAAAGTATGTGTGGAATATTCATGTAACCAGTGAATCTGTAAAGAAATCTACTAATTTAGGATTGATTCAGGCTGTCAGTACAAGGGTCATGTTTCTGAAATTTAAAGCTGTATATGGAATTTATATGTATAGCCAGGAAATGGAATTATCATGCATGTTCATGCTGACAAGATTGCAAGAAATTGACATGTTTTCTTACCTGGATGTCTTCAGGGAGATCTCACTTCTGTGTTTGAGATTGTAAGGAATATATGACTAAGTTCACAGCCAATCTCTTCTGACCAGTCTGGAAATTTTAACTACAGTAAATGATTAAGTATCATACTGGAGCAATTACTTATCCTGTCTGGTCATATATGCAAAGATAGCATACAGTACATATATTGTAGAAGACAGATTGCCAAGATTTATCTTCCAAAAAAATAATAATCTTATTAGAATTTCAAGAGTAAGCAATTAATCTTTTTATATACAGGATGAGTAAAACATGTTTAAGGAGAGTCCAAAAAGTGCTTTTTCAAAAGGCAACTTGGCTTTGTTTTTTTCTCTGAAGATGTTTTGCTTCTCATCTAAGAAGCATCTTCCGTTCTGACTGAACTGAAGTCAGTCAGAAATGAAGAAGCTTCTTCGATGAGAAACAAAATGTCTTCAAAGAAAAAAAAAAAGGCAAGTTGCCTTTTGAAAAAGCACTTGTGAGATAAACATGACCTGGATGACTGAGAATCTCCATAGACATGTTTTGGGAGAGTTGACCTAAAATAGTATATTTTTTTCTGTATGAGCTTAATAGCTTGTCTATAAGAGATTCTTACATTCTTCAAAAAAAGAAATTCCTCTTTGGAATGTTCTGCTTGATGTCCTTTATTGAAACCTTTTCTGAGGCCAAAATTGTATCCTTTTCAGTACTGGAGAGGACACTTCAGTATTTCCCAAAAGAGTTCACATTTGAATTCAGAGGAGAAAAGTATCTAAGTTTTACAATGGTTTTATGGTGCTAAATATCTAATTTTTCTTTCAATTTTGAACAAAGGTGTGATGTTTAGGGTTTTTTTAAATAAACATATGTTTAAATACTACATATTTAAATTCTTGTTTTTATATCCCAGCCCATTTTAAACTGTTAGAATTAGGGATGAGGGATGATTTTAAATTGAGTTTGTGGCTAAGATTACCATCAGTCTATCAACAGTTAAGACAAAATACTTTTAAAACTATATTCCCACTAGGATGATCTGCCAGATGGGATGTACTGATAATGGGCTTGAGAAATTTAAGCCTCATAAATATTATTTATTTAAAATGCCTTAAGATTCTTTAAAATTATTTTTAAATGATCAATTTTTTCCTAGTTCTTATTTCAATTTCATTAACAAAGATGAATACCCTTGTCTAATTGTATTTCATGCCTAGCCATTTTGTATTTATCTAACTGCTGCATTCACAACACATGCATCGTATTATCTAGGCTGGCGATATAATATATCTGTCAAACTAAATGGAATGAAAAATGTGAAAGGAGAAATAAATATAGTTTTCCACAGTAAAAATGGAGATATGAAGGAATATCCAATTATGAGGTATATTTCATGCTTTGTTGTTGCAGATTTTCAGTTTTGCTAATTTTAGGAATAATTATAGCACTAATTCAATTAAGAGTTTTTTATATTTATCATGTATAAAATACTTCCTTCTACACATCCTAACTCCTAATTCAAGGATAAGGTCTGTTTTATGAAATAACATTAAAAAGGTAACAACATATATTATATATGATCTAAAAAAATAAAAAGGTGGGAAGTGAAGATGTTAGAAATGCAATCCTTTTTCCAAAAATAAAACAATGTAGTTTGTCAACTCTGCTTCAATACTTGATGAAATGAGCTACAGAATCAGCTTTCAGGGTGAAGACAATGGGAATAGAATAGTTTTCATGGTGGACTATGAAAAACAATTTTTTAAAGCTATTATAGCTTTAATAGATTATTTTATAACCTTTGTTGCTCATTGTCAGGGAATTGTGCAGCAGCTGTCCACATGAAGTCAGAGACACTGGAACAATTTTATAGCTTTATATAAATAAATATATTTTAGATTTATATTTACAGCAGACAAGATAGTAAGAAACACAGGAACATAATGACGTAAATCAAACAGCATATAGAGCACACACAGAGGAAAAAGGTAGGGGGGAACAATGAAACTCCCCCTTTACACCCACAACAACCAATCATAGTGTAGATTGCCTCATGCATGAGCCAGCACTCTCCAACCAATCAACTACAACTGTGTGTTTTGGCCCATTATCCACTTTACTGTTCCAGCTACTAAATTAAATATCCTAACACTCATCCAATCTGAAATATGATTGAAATGAATTGTGAATGAGCAATATTAATATCACAGAATAATTAATTGTGAAGTGGTAAAAAAACAACTGTACTGATGCTCTGTAATTTCTTCAATCATATTTTTACAGGGGCAGCCTTAAGCAAGAACAAATCTATTCAAAGCTCACAGATGTAGAAATTAATCCAGAAAATGCTTCAAGAATTGAGTTTGTTTGGCACAAGCAATTCTTTACTTTCTTTTGGCTTCAACTAGGAGCAGAAAAAATAAATCTTACCCGTGGGCAGGATGGGCGTAAGTAAGTATTGCAATTTTAACACTTAATTTTCATGATTTATATCAAGTTTCATTTGATAGTCCAGGAAGAAATCCTTTCTATCTGAGCAAGGATGGGACTTGAGCAAGGATGGATTTGAACATAGTGAAATCCACTAATTGTGCTTGGAGGGAACTATTGATCTGCTGTTCTGAAATGCTAAAGTGAATATATAAGCATGAACTATATGCCCTCTTAACACATATGCAGTAAGATTTCTTTTTACTTTGTTTATTGTTAGTTGGTTTTGTTCAAGGTGGATTATTGCAATTATAAAAATATTGATCAATTAATAAATAAGCAGTAAAAATTAGAAGCAACATGTCTGAAACAATGAAAAATAAGAACAATCTCTATTTCCAGTTCAGAATACATTCCAATAATTTATTCTATGTCACCTCCCAAAACATTTCTAGATGTATGAAGGGGGTAGAAGGCTCAGAAAGTCCAGCATGGAGGGTTCAGAGAACCAAGTTTTCTTTTGATAAATTATTCTGGACCTAGACCTTCTATCATAAGAACACCCTGAACAGTTTGTAATGTACACTCTCATGTTATAAATCTTTCTTACTTTTGTCCGTCAAAAGTCTAAATCTTTAAACTTTGTATCCAGTCAAAACATGTATTAAGGGATGGAAAAGAGAAGTTAACTAGCAAATGTAGGATTTATATAAGGATATTTTTCTTCACCTTCTTCCAGGACTTCCCTCTGTGGCCATGGAACAGTAAAATACGAAGTTCCCCAAATACTTACACCTTGCTGAATACAAAAGGAGGCATAATCATAATTTGTAAGAATAACTGGGACCAGCTTCTTCATGTGGCCTCTGAAAGAGCTTGATGGTTTGAAGTATGACTTATTAGAACAAATTTTCTGTTATTTTGTTCAACTCAGCTCTGAACACAATCATCGTAATTGTTTTTGGTATGATAAAACAGTGTCAAACATTTACAATACCAATTTCTGTTTCAAAAGAAATAAAAGTAGACAAAAAGTCTGTGTGTGTGTGTGTGTGTGTGTAGAGAGAAAGAGATTTGCTGGGGTGCAATCTTCTCTGTCAAAAGCAAACTATGAATAGAAAAAAAATGGTGAACACTGTTTAAGGGTATGGAGCATCTTTACTTGTCAAGGTACATCTCTTTAAATTTGTTTTTTAAATTTATGCAGAAATTCCAAGACTTTATCTGCTCTAATGCGTTTATGTTTACAAGGTGTAGTGTGAACAGGGCATTTGCATCTTTCTCTTCCTTTTCAGCAGTTTTGTTTAGAAAACCATTTCTACTTCCTTGCTTGATAGGGCAAAGAATGTATTTAGGTAAGTTCCAAGATATTCATAATTTTTCTTCATTTTGGCTGACATAGCAAAGAGAACATTAAAGATTTGGATTCACAGCTTCTTCCACCAGTCCCCAGGCCTGTTCCCATGCTTTCTTTAAAGTCTTTCCCACAGCAGATATTCCTGATATAAAAAATTGTGAGTCTTTAAGGAAGTTTGCCAACATCAGTTTCCCTTCACTAATACAAGTAGTCCTTGACTTACAATAGTTCATTTAGAGACCATTTAAAGTTACAAGAAAAAAATGACTTATAACATTTTTCAAACTTACGACCATTACAGCATCTCCACGGTCATGTGATCAAAATTCATATGCTTGACAACTGAGTCATATTTATGACAGTTGCAGTGTTCTGGAGTCCTGTGGTCACCTTTTGCGACCTTCTGACAAACAAAGTAAATGGAGATGCCAAATTCACTTAACAACTGAATAGTTAATTTAACAACTGCAGTGATTCACTTAACAACTGTGACAAGATAGGTCGTAAACTGGGGCAAAATTCACATAACAAATATCTCAGCAACAGAAATTTGGGGCTCAGTTTTGGTCATAAGATGAGGACTATCTGTACTTGATACTCTATGTGAACTTGAAAGGGCCAATTTAGTGAATCCTATAGACAGCTTTTTAAAGCCATAGGATTCTCATCTTAGTGCTTATAGCGATTTTGAAATTTTAAGATATTTTGATTTAGATGCTATGGGTCTACACTTTTTTTCTTCTTCATTTGCATCCTCAAACTATGAACCTACAGCTATTACAGCCTTTTGTCTGGGCCTCATATTAAGCTTGATTTAGACTTCTGTGTCACTGCATGCAGGAACGTGCGTGTCTGTCATTCAGAGACAGTTGCATAGCTGTTGCAGTGGTATTTCTGTAAATGTTAACATTCTGGTTAGGCAGCGCTCAAACAACAATGTGCCTTGCCTTCCACCTACCTCCCAACAAGAAGTCAGAATGACCAATCAGCATGCAGGAAGGGCATCTCAACATATAGTTGAGATTTGGGGGTATAGTTGAGATTTGGAGGTGTTGACTCATCTGCAATCATCTACAACCTGCGCTTAAACATCAACCCCTTTGCAGCATAGGTCTGCATCAACGCCTCTGTGCAGTTGCAGACAAGTCTAAATCAAGCTTTAGAAGGTCCAAGTGATTGATAGCAAACATAACAACTTATATGTTAAGTTAGTATCACAGTTGTTAAATGAATCTGGCTTCCCCATTGACTTTGCTCATCTGAAGGTTGCAAAAGGTGATCACGTGGCCCTCGGACACTGTAACTCCCATAAATATGAGCCAGCTACCAAGCATCTGAATTTTGATCATGTGCCCATGGGGATGCTGGAAAAGTTGTGTGAAAAACAGTCATAAGTCACCATTATAACTTTGAATGATCACCAAATGAAGGGTTGTCAGATGATGATTATCTGCAATAAGTTTTTAATTTTATTAAGTCATTCCTAGCCTGTCCCACTTAGAGAACCATTAGTAATTAAAGACTAGGATTAGATTACTCTGCCATTCCAACAGGCAGGCTTTCAATCATGGATCTTCCTTTCTGATCACAGGAGGAAATTCCATATTGTCTTATGACCTTTCCTAGCATTTTACAATGGTTTCTCTGAGCTTAACATAGTAAGAATACATTTGAAAGAATTTGGTATATAAATCAGTTATTGCAAAAGTTGCATTATTTTTGCTGATAATGCTATAAGAATATTATTGCCAGACAAATGACAACTAATCCAGTAATCCTGTGCATATATTGATTTCTCTTTCAAGGTGTAGAAAGAAACCTTCAGCCTTGGAAGAATATTGGCCTTCGGGTGTCAAGATCTTATCTTCTCAACAACAATGGTTTGATCCTAGAAAGAAGAAAAAGGATGGATCAGAGGGGACTGCTTTCCAATATCAAACCATTGTTGTTGAGAAGATAAGATCTGCTGAAGAGTCCACAAAAGGAACATCTGAAGGCCAATCTTCTTTCAAGGCAGAAAGTTTCCTTCTACACTTAGAGGGAGAAATCAATACATGCACAGGGTTACTGGATTACTAAAAGGATTATGTTTTGAATCTACAAGATTCATGGCTCCCCTTCACATGTCCTCAAGCTACCTTCTACTCTTCTTTAGCCCTGCAGTTGATTAGATTACCGTATTTTCAGGCGTATAAGACAACTGGGCATATAAAACGACTCCCAACTTTGGAGAAGATTTGCATGGTTAGAAAGTCGTCTTATACACCAGAAAATATGGTAGTTCTAATCATTACCAGAGCTGATACTGCTATCAGTTTGGTGACTGGCTATTTTTTACTTATCCTAGGTGTTTCATAATATTATGCTGGATTGTGTTTAAACCTTTCTGCTATGAGGCTTTGGGATTATTCATGGGTAAAGTTGCTTGGCAATTTTAACATGTTTTGGCACTTTTTAGGCCTTGTTATCAGCCTGATATTTTAGGATGAAGGACATATTTTAAATACTTTGATATTCAAGGCATTTACAAGTTGGTATCTATACCAAAACTACATAAAAGAATAGGTGTGTATCATGCATATTGTGTCATTGTGGAGAACAAAAGTAGTATAGGATTATTTCAAAATCTATGTGAATTACAACAGTCCTGAAAAACCAGACAGCTCATGCTCCTATCCTTGCTTAGTAATGTAACTCATAAGGATTCAGTGTTTCTCAGGGCAGAATGACACATTCTGCTTGGCCCGTCATCAGTGTGGGCCACTCACATAAACAGGAAGAGATGATGTCATCCACCCTAAATGTGCTGAACACAAATGAGGAACAAACGTGGGGATAGTAGGATAGTAGGCAGTATGTAAAGAGCCTTTGGTTACCTCGCTCTCATCATTTGCCTTATGGTTAAAGGACTCCTAAGGTTCAAAGCGACAATGAGTGTCCAGCACTGTTTCACAACAAACATCTAAACTAGAGGTGTCCAATCTAGAGGCCACATGTGGTTCTGGAGAGCTAGAATGCAGCCCCACAAGATTATCAACAATATTTAAAAATAAAAGAAATTTGTTATGTATATACACATTAACTATACTATATATTTTATATGCAGCCCAGGACAATTCCTCTTCACTCAGTGTGTGCCAGGGAAGCCAAAAGGTTGGACAACCATGATCTAGTCTCAAAATATTTTGAATATATAAAATGGTAATAATTTCAGATCCTACAAAACTCAAACTTGCCTGGCATTTTCAAATTCTATTCGTGCTCATTGCACTGCAACAGTTAAGCATTCAATTACTTCAGCTGTCTAAATAGCCAGTCGTATGATTTTTTAAAGAAAAATGTGCCACTTTATTTTGTTTTAAATTTTACCTATAACAGCCAAGTATTTGAAAATATGCATAGTTTTCCAAGGACAGATTGGATAAAGCTCACATAATCAGAGGTGGTGATAAGATTTTTTTAACGATATAATATATGAAATACTCTTATTTTGGGGATGTTGCCATAAGAGGAAGCAGCTTCTTGAACAAATGAATATGGTTACAAATAGATTCTGGGCTGATTAGGTTCTGTTGAATCATAGAATCCCAGAATCATAGGGTTGGAAGGAATTTTGGAGGCTTGAGTCAACCTTCCGCCCACTGCTGGAACACTTCATACCATCCTGGATAAATGATAGTCCTTTAAAACAAAAAACACCTTCTGGTGATGGAGCACACTCAGCCTCACATTCAACTTAATGTTTAGAGTTAACATTTTACTAGCAGTCACTACTTCAGGAGGCAAGCTGTTCTCTTGCTTAATGGCTTTCATGGAATAGGAAATTTCTCCTTATCTCAAGTTTGGATCTCTCACTGTAATGGTTCTTATCCTACCCTCTAGTGTTATGTAGAATAAATCCACATCCTCTTCCTTGTTACTTCCCTTCATTTAATGGAAGACTACTGTCATGTCTTTCCTTAGCCTTCTTTTCTTTAGGTTAAACATACCACAAATGGTTGTTGTGGGATTTAGTCTCCAAGCCCCTGACCATCTTTACATCCTCTACACTCTTTCCAATTTCTCAGTGTCCTTATTGTATTGTGGCAACCAGAACTGGGCACAATGTTTCAAGTTTAATCTGACCAGCACAGCATAGAATGATGCTCTCACTTCATGTTATGTTGACACTATACTTCTATTAATGCAGCCCAAAACTGCACAGGCTGTTTTGGGATGTATACCACATTGCTAGCTCATGCTTAATCTGTGACCTCTCATAAATACTATTTTCTTGTACCTGGGCATCTGGTTTTTCCTGCCTAAGAGCAGAACCTAACATTTCTCATCACTGAAAATTTAGTTAGATAGGATCATGATCATGTTCATATCTCTTAAGACCCTTTGGAATCTTGAACTTGTATTTTGGGGTGTTAAAATTGTGTCATCCCTTCGTATGGACATAGACCCATTAAGTACCGTGCATTGGCTATGGTTGTTCAGCCATCTATGAATCCATCTAAGAGTGGACCATGCATTCCACATTGTTTCAGTTTTCCAAAACAGAGATTATGGCCAACTTTATGAAATCTAAGTATACTACATCTGCAACATTCTGTTAGTTCACCAACCTATTTACACGATCAAAGAAAACAATAATGTTTGTCTGGCACAGCTTGTT